AGTGATAGCTGGACCATAAAGAAGGCTGACCGCCGAAGAATTGATGCTTTCAAATTGTGGTGCTGGAGGAGACTCTTGAGAGTCCCCTGGACTGCAAAGAGAACAAACCTATCCATTCTAAAGGAAATAAACCCTGAGTGCTCACTGGAAGAACAGATCCTGAAGCTGAGGCTCCAATACTTTGGCCATCTCCTGAGAAGAGAAGACTCCCTGGAAAAGAAGCTGATGTTGGGAAAGTGTGAGGGCAAGAGGAGAAAGGGATAACAGAGGACGAGATGTTTGGACAGTGTCATCGAAGCTACCAACATGAATTTGACCCAACTCCGGGAGCCAGTGGAAGACAGGAGGGCCTGGCGTGCTCTGGTCCATGGGGTTACAAAGAGTCGGACATGACTTAACGACTAAACCCACAGTGTTTTTTATAAACACTTGCCATGTACCGGTAGTCCTACGCTTATATCTAAGGAAGTGGATTGTCTACAAAAGTTCACGTTAAAATATATTAGTTAGTCTTTAAGGTGCCACAGTGTTTTTCTCTTCTTAATTTTTTATTTTTCTTCTGTTTTTGCCTTTGATTCATTCCATTAAATCGGGAGTGGGAGATTTTGACCGTCAATATGTTTTCAAACCAGCTCTCAGAACCTCACTCAGTATGATGAATGATTGGGGATAACAAGAGTTTTTAATTGTCATAAGACATTTTAATTTTAATAGAGGCTTTTCAGATGCACATAGAAATAAACCTAGAACATTAATTTACACTTGTTTCTCGTATTACAAGAAAATATAGATGGATCTTTGGAGCTGCTAAGCCAAAGGAGGAATTTCATTTTCTCAGTACAAACCATATAAATAACATTGTGGTGGATTTTAGGGTCACTAAGTTGGATCCAGGGCTTCGTTCTCTGAGCATCAGAGATGAAGTTAGCTTAGAATCATCCTGTTGGCAAAATGGGAGGACACAATTTTGGCCAGTTCACTTCCCCCACAAACTCAGCAGCTCCCTTTAACTTTTGATGGGTCCTCCAGTGAACTGCAGCAGATTTTAAGGGGACAGGAGGACCACTGGAGAATTTTAAAGCTGGCTGTTTCCCCATTCATCCAACAGAAGAACTGTAATGGATCTAAAACCTCCTGAAAATGGAAGTAGTTCTGACTGTGGGGGTCTTTTGCTGGTTTCAAACCCATTTTATGCTGCTAGATGTAAACATCAAAAATGAGTTTGACTCTGTGCACCATAACAAGAGTACATGCTTATTTCTGAAGAAATAAGTATTCTGCTTTCTTTTAAATAGCAAACAGGTTTGTAGATAAAACCCCTCTTGTACCCAAAATAATTTCAATCCCGGCAGGAAGCAAGATCCAAAAGCATGCATTGCAACATAACTTAGTGGATAGTGACTGGCATTCAGAGAGATGAGCTTCTAATATTTCTCCCTTTAGACATAGCTCTCCTTGCCTAGACACACATTTTAATCAAAATCTCATTGATTTTATCTGGAAAGAAACCAGAAATTTTCTCACAGCAGGAGGGACTTGCATCAGCAGCCAAGGGAAGACAGCCTGGATTAGCCAGACTACCTGCCACCTGGAACAAATCCACTGATTGAGGTTTCACAGATAACACACTGGAAGCAAAAGGAATATTTCCTATACAGTATTATTATTTTTAACATGGACACAGGCAGATAGCATAAAATACAATTCAGATAATTTGGCTTCATAAAATCTTCCAGCTGCATTTTTCTTTTTCTACCCTCTGGCTTCATTTGCTTTTAGGCTGCTGATAAAAAAAAAACATGGAAAGCCAACAAGTACAAGACTTGATATTTAAACTTATAAGAACTCCTCCTTAAGGCTAAAATCACCAAAACAAAGCAAAACCCTATACATGCTTACGTAACCTGTCCTAGCAACATTCAGATTTTTTTGTTTGTCTGCCTCCAGGAAAATCTACTTAGACAGGCATGCCATGCTCTTTTCAATAATAAAATCTGTGATGATTATACGGCCGCTTTGGTGGGAGAAGCAACTTGCTATTTCTCCTCTCTGCTCTGTTCCCAGAGTGAGGGGCGAAGTAGGAGCAGTTATGTCATATTCCCTTGCTCCAGGTTCTGCTGCTTTTATAAAGGACATTCTGCCTACAAAGAAAGCATTAATAATTATCTGCAGTTCCTGAACTGTTTGCATTGTTTCTTTCCAGCAGCCCTGAGGATATTGCAGTAAAGGACCGGTTGGATCTTCTAGCCGTTATTTAATGCCAGGTAGAAACCCAAACAATGCAGCAGGAGTTCCACAGTAAACTAGTGAAAAGCTATTGACGATAGGATAAAGAATGTTATTCTGTTCAGGCACATACATTTTGATATCCCTTGTTCCACTTGCATAGGCTCCCTATATCCTCATTGTCTGATACTTAGGCACATCGGATTACTGTGATGCTCTCTGCATGGGGGCTGCCTTTGAAGACATTCCAGAAACTTCAATGGGGTCAAAATGCACCAGCCAAATTACTGACTGGGGACAGCTATAGGGAGCATATAATGCCCCTGCTATAACAACTGCACTAGCTACCAGCCTGTTTCCGCACCCAATTCAACGTGCTGATCATTACCTATAAAGCCCTACAGCTTGAGTACAGGTTACTTGAAGGACCATATCTCTCCATGAGTTTCCTTGGCCCTCCTCTTGGTCCTATTGCCAGTGCAGGCACAGTTGATGGAGACACAAAAGAGGGCCTTCTCTGTGGCAGATTCCAGATTATAGAATGCTCTCCTTATCTCTCCCTTTGTATCCTTCCACCGATAGTTGAAGACCCACCTTTTCAGGCAGACTTTTAACAATCATAACTGAGTTTCTGAATGTCATTTTTTAGTTAAGCTGGTTTTTAATGTTTCACATGTTTCCAGTCACTCAATGTATTTTAATTAGTTTCATAGTTTAGTTGTTTCTAGTGTATGACCTAGTGTGTTTTTAATTCTATTCTTTTTAATACTGTGAGCCACCTTGAGGTTTCTTATCAGGAGAAAGGCAGCCTAGAAATAAGATAGATCAGTGGTTCTCAAACTTTTTTCACTTACATATCCCTTGGCTGCCCATTTCCATAAATTGTACCATTCATGTTAGCAAAATGTTTGTAATTAATATGGTTGCTGTTATTTCAAATTTATATGTTGTAACTGTAAATAAATAGCCCAATGATGGAATAATAAGGTGAACAGACAGTGCACATATATTTAGATCCAAAACTCAAAAGATACAGTGAATTCCAAGTAAATACATCTCTGAAGACCCGGAAGAACTTACTTGTTGAACACTGCTCAGAGGACCGTGCCCACTTATATATACACTAGTACCAGCACAATGGCACTCAGATATTTGTGAAGTGGAAAATAGCTGAGCCTGTGAGGGGCTGACCACCAATCATTCCTGCTGTAGTGGTGTGTTTACAACACATTGTTTAGGGAGGGATTTCCCTACCCTTACAAAGCAAGTGAATGGGGCTTTTCTCAAGGTTAAACAATGGAGAAAACCCACTCCTACACTAGTCATAACATTCAGTTAATTTCTCAACTTATGACTTATATCTTGTCTTAAAATGTTGGCACACAGTATGTGCCTTTTCTTGCCATTATTTAGGGGTGTGTGTGTGTGTGTGTGTGTGTGTGTGTGTGTGTGTGTGCGTGTGTGCGCGCGCGTGTGAACTTATGACTTATATCTACCCTTCCCGCCATTTTTTAATTTGCTACCATCCTTTCCTCTAGTTGCAAAAACACTAACGTTATTCAAAAAGAGACACATACATGCTGCAGGCTGTAAAAGGACCAGTATCACTTTCAAGTATTCATACACAACCAGGAGAGTCCTACAATTCAGAAATAAGCCTGCTACCCTCCTATCTAGTTAGGCCATGAAAATGGGAGGCAGCAGTTATTTTGGGAGAGTGGAGCAGACAAAAATCATATTGGGGACCTTTCAAGATGAATGAAAAAGTAGTTTGGGTAGAGTACATTGAGTTCTTGAGTAAGCTGGAAAGACGGATATCCAAGGACTCATTGTATACATCTGGGGGTCAGGAAAGATTTAGGGGTCAGATCATACTTCCATACTCTTAGGGAGCAGGCCGGGTAGGTGGGGGTCGTCAGCCTGGGAAGGCAGCCCATCTAGGAGAAGGACAACTCAGATTTCAAACCTCCACTGCTTTGTGGCTATATCCACTGAGGGAAAAGGCTTCAGGAGTTAACCTCGAGGCAAAATCTGGAGCCGGAGTCCCGAAGGCAGTTCATGTTGTTCTGCCAACTCCTTTGATGTCGCTGGAACCAATTATATTGGCTCTTGCCTATTGGACTACTTCAGAGACATGGAGAGGGGCGATTTGCAGCTTGGGTAACAGCCTATACTCCATATTATTTTACCCAGGCTTCATGCTCTGGAGAGGACACTCCAGCTTCACATACAGCGTCGAAACAACACGGAAAAGGATTGCCACTCTCGAATTGGCCTTCTCTGCCACACTAGACGCTGTTTGAAGTCCTCCATACAGAGCACGTTACCATAGTCCCTCGAGACTGAAGGATGCCTAACTAGCTAACTATTGTATGCATGAAGTGCTATATTCTGTCCAGCCATTTGGCCAGTTCAGCCACATGTTTGTCATCCAAAACACTTAACAATGTTATCCCTCTGTGTTCCCCATTTCTAACTGGGATGACCTTTTATGCTTTGGATTTACTCTGCCATACAAGAACAGAATCTATTAAAGGTTTGGTTATATTGCAGGGTTGAGAGATTTTTTCTCTCTATGCTAATGGTTAGCTCTTTATTCATGATTAAGTGCTAGCACAGAAGTAATGCTGAGAAAATTATAAATATAGTCTCATCGACTCCATCTGCGTTTCTGATCTAAGCAATAAAGCAGTCCTTTTTCCTTTCAAATTCTCCTTTGTTACTTGCCCGAGATTCATTTTAGATTAATCTTTTATTTTGCTTTATTTCTAAAGGACATCCATTACTTTGCACTAGATAAGGGTGAATTGGCACTAGCTGAAGTGGCAAAGAAAAAGGCTAACGACATTGACACAGAATCAATAACTACCGGAGTTGGTAAGAATTAATGCTTTTTTTAAAAAATGGCTTTTGTTTTGTTTTAATCAATACTTGTTCTTGTATCACTGTCATGTTATGCATGTAGCAGTGTTATTGGTTAATTGGAATTGTTTTTGGGGAGGAGAACATGATGACATTTTTGGTTAAGAAGGAAAGGTAGCCACACAGAAACAGCCTTTAGATACAAGTGTAAAAATGGTGGCATTGTAGAAGTTCCAAAGACAGCTAAAATACTTTATAGAGCAAGAGGAGGAGGAGGCATAAATGAATATTCCGAAAAGGATTAAAGAAGAAGCTGGCATCTGAAATCTATATTGATACTATATGTTTTCTTTAGCCCTATTCAAGCATTCAACAAAAAGCTTAATTGGAATGGTGAGTAGAGGGAGCAGGCTAACCCCACTGTCCCCTGTTCCAGCTTTCAGCATGTAGAGAGATACAGCTACGAAGAGCTGTCTCTGCCACGGAGTAGCTCCACCTGAACAGAACCCTGCATTTTCAGGGTTTCTAAACAGAGTGCCAAGAGCCGCCTATGAAGAGAAATAGCTCTGGTCTTTGCCCACTAAAGGCTAGGTGGGGCCAAAATAATTAATACTATCCTAAACTCCAAATAGGGCTTTAAAGAACCATGTTTTAGAGACAAGTTTGCAGAAGGACATGGTGGCGCTGAGGGCTAAACTGCAGAAGCCTGTGCTGCAGAGTCAGAAGACCAGCAGTCGTAAGATCGAATCCACGCGACGGAGTGAGCGCCCGTCGCTTGTCCCAGCTCCCACCAACCTAGCGGTTCGAAAGCATGCAAATGCAAGTAGATAAATAGGAACCACCTCGGTGGGAAGGTAACAGCGTTCCGTGTCTGAGTCGCACTGGCCATGTGACCACGGAAGATTGTCTTCAGACAAAATGCTGGCTCTATGGCTTGGAAACGGAGATGAGCACCGCCCCCTAGAGTCGAACACGACTGGACAAAAATTGTCAAGGGGAACGTTTACCTTTACCTTTACCTTGCTCTAAACAGACTTTCAGCAAGTACTGTATGCTACATTTCACCAATTAAATTCAGCAAGGTCTAACTTGTGAATCATGTGGTTCTGAAACATTTGTGTCAGTCACCAGGGCAGACAGTTGCCTCTCACATGCCAGGTTAAACTAGGAACAAGATGTCAAGTGCTGTAGATGCACATCTCAGTTTAGGTGAGCAGGTGGACAGGGCTTCTGTGTCATTTGAAGTTTGATCGATTCTCTTATAGAAAAAAGAATTGCAAAAGAACCCAACCCTCATTGCGTATATGATCATGACGTCTGGGTTATCAATGGATTTACTGGTCTGTTATACAACCTGTGCCAAATTGGGCTGCTAAAGAATACATCCCTGATTGCACACTAAAGTCAATATAATGCTCAAAACCAGAAGCCAACAGAGCAATATCCATCTCATAAGAATAATATGTTTTCTTCAGACATTCACCACTGACAAGCGCTACTTCCCACAGTTCTCTTGTACCCCGTTCTCTGATAACCAGAATCTAACTGATTTACCTCTCTGAAAGGGCACACATAAAAATATTCCATTTGTTGTTGCATCCTTGGTCAACAAATACTACTGCTATTGTTGTAGCCTCTGTAGAGGCACATATACATTGTAGAAATCATTGCAGATTATTATTTTTTTTGTTAAATTGCTTTAACTGTGCAGCAGAAATGCAGGGAGTCACAGAGCAGAATAGCTTCAAGTTCCCCCGATTACCCCTTTTCCTCATTAACTGGCATTTACAGTTTCAGTAACTCACCCTGAGACATTAGTAGAAGAAAGAATAAAACTTTTCATTACTTACAATTGAACAGATCAAACAGCATATTGACAAACATGACGGCTTTCAGCAATAGACCTCAATATACTAAAGAGAGAGAAAGAGGCACAGAACGGAGAGGCAGGAGGGAAAGATTTGTTAGGGTTGGAAAGATTGACAGTCACCCCAGCCCAGAGCTCTCTTTGAAATTAGAGGCAGGAGGGAAAGATTGATTAGGGTTGGAAAGACTGACAGTCACCCCAGCCCAGAAAAGCCCCTCCCAGCCACACCTACATGCAAGATTGCAAAAACGGCAACAGAAATTTCAGTGAGATGTTTATAATGTGTGATTATTCTTATAATGGCAATTTCCACTGCTGTGGAAGGAAAAAAAATCTAGTTTGAGCTACTTAACACAGAGATTAATAGTCAAATACATATCTAAACAAATAACAAGTAAAAGACTCCCTGTCCAGTGAATATTAGGGGGGGAATTACTTGTCAATCTTGACAGTTTCTCTTGATTTCAGGATATTAGAGCACTGTTAGTTTCACTTGAGGTTTACAGAAGAGAGGAAAAAAAGAATCATCTGATTTTCTTGCTGTCTCCTGCCTGTTGCCTCAGCGCAAACTCAGTTAAGATTAATTTGATAAAAGCTTTTTAAGAGGCCGGAGTCTCAAAGGGCTTTTTATGTCTAAAATCCCAGGTGAGTGCTTCTTGAAGCATTATGAGATCAAAATAGCACTTTAATACTGGAAAGTATAATGTCTTGTTCCTCATTCACTCCACTTCTTGTTTTAATTGGACACAGGTGGTCATGGAATATTATTGTAAGTAAAAAGTTTTACATGGCACTTTGTGCATAAAGCTCCACATATATTTCCATTTTCGCAAAATTTCTGAGGGATATTGAGGAAGTAATTTTTGTTTCACATAGAATAGAATAGAATTCATTTATTACAGTCAGGTGACCAGCCCATGAAACATATCCATGGCTAAAACATACAAAATACAGTTCAAAAATATACAAACAATTCACAAAACATACCATGTGGCCAAAATACACAAAATGCAGTTCAAAAGTGTATAGCCAATCCATAAAACACACTACATGGTCAAAACACACAAAATGCAATTTTAAAAGTGCACAACAGGCAATCAACCGTGCAATGATTGTAAAACATGGGGAGAATAAAACACAGCACCTCTACAGTTATCCCCCGGACCATTGTCCCTTCGGTTGGGACCATAACACCTCTCCATGCTAGACAATATACCACCCCTATGCCAAAACCAGTCAACCCATGAGCTCAGGAGACTACAAGGGAGCGCTGTGCCATTGCTGCTGCACAAAATCTTGCTGCACAGCATGTAATAAGGGAGTCTTGATCAGAAAGAAGTAGCTTGATGTAAATTTCATCTGATCTCCCTGGATATATGAGAATGATTGGGCTCGAGGTTGGTGCGTAGATCTCTATAGAAAAGACAATACAGTAAAACATGACCTATGGTTTCCATTTGGTTATCATTACACAGACATAGGCAATCCGAGATAGGTGTATGTTGAAATTCCCTGGATATATGAGAATGATTGGGCTCAGGAGGTTGGTGCGTAGATCTCTATAGAAAAGACAATACAGTAAAACATGACCTATGGTTTCCATTTGGTTATCATTACACAGACATAGGCAATCCGAGATAGGTGTATGTTGAAATCTTCCCTCCATGAGCTTAGAGGGTAAAACATTAAGTCTTGCTAATGTGAAGGCTCTTCTGGTCTTTGTTGATATTGTGCTTGTCAAATATGCAGATATTGTAAAGGCATTATTAGTGACAACACTGTATTTGTCTACCTGGCTCATATGCTCTTGAAGTTCTATGTCCCAGATTCTTTGTTTGAGTGCTGCTTTAGCGCTGACATGCCTCATCGCCAAAAGAAAATTGGTGGAAAAGCCCATTTGCCTTATTTCTTTTGTAAGTTGTAGTTTCCATGCTGATTGAAAGGAGTCAAAAAGTGGCATCTGTACCAAGCCTTCTGAAGAGAAGAGAAGCTTTAGCCAGAAATTAAACATGTGGACTTTGGCCCACGCTTTTATGGCAATTAGGCCAGCCTCCAGTCGAAGGGCTACATTAGGTGTACAGGGGGGTATAGTCAAAATATATCTCAAAAATTTGGTTTGAACTACCTCAAGAGGATGTAGGTCAGATAAAGCAAACAATTGGCACCCGTAGAGAATTTGAGCAACAATTTTAGCCTTGAAAACCTGAACGGCTGAGGGGATATGGTGACCCCCTTTGGTGTGAAAAAATCTTGTTAATGCCGCCGCACTTTTATGAGCATTCAGTGCTGCATGCTTTATGTGGGGGGCCCAGGAACCCGAGGCATGAAAGATTATGCCCAAATATTTGTAACCTGCTCTATGGGATGACCATTGATAGTCCAATTGTGCTTTACTCTTCTTCTACCGACCGTGAGAACTTTCGTCTTCTGGTAATTAATTACCGTATTTTTGCTCCATAAGACACACCTGACCTAATTTTTAGAGGAGGAAAACAGGGAAAATATATTCTGAACCAAATAGTGTAATAAAATATTTAATAAACTATAACAGAATAACATTTGAACCATGTAAAGTGAACAGCAGTCAACAGTGGCATTAAGAACCATTACCACTGGCATTAACAAATGGAGAGACTTAAAGGATTGTGTACTCTAGTTTATGTACCATAAATTTGTGTACCA